TTTTACATTTTGGTATGGCGTTTCGCTGGTAGTTAAAGCCAACAATATCAGGCAGTTGCCAAATATCATAAACTGTCCTTCAGTTTTGGTGACTTCGATACCATATGGTCTTTTGTGTGGTCGTCTTTGTATACTTTACCAGTTGAAAAACTGGTTAGAATTATTACAGCATCACTTTACTAATTTACATTAAACAATAAAGTATCAGGAATGTACAACACAATGCTATAACGCGTGTAAATTTTCTTATTCTTTCGGCCTTTCGGTAAAGCCACGTACATAGAATAATAATAAGAACAATATCACTACGTTTCGATCGCAACACAAGCAATCGTTATCAGGTGAAAAAAAGGGGAGAGCTGCTGAGGCAGGCTGTTTATAAAGGTTTCGAGATGGGCGGGGCAGCTAATGTTAATGTAGGAGAGGTCTCCGTAACCTGCAGTAGGTCTGTTTACAAAGGTTTAGAGATGCTTGTAAATGTAAGCTCGGAGAGAGCTAGGAAAGAGCCATCGCCACATGGAGGTGGAAAAGAATGGCCAGCCGCCATTTACTAACACGGCTAACGGTGGCTGTGTTAGTGAATGTAACTCAAAAACGAAGCTGTGGGGGTGGCCATTGTATTGTGAGAGATTAGCATGTCAATGTAAGAAATTTGCTGATAAATGTAAGCTAGAGAGAGCTGGGAAAGGAACATCGCCACATGGATGTGGAAAAGGATGGCAAGCCGCCATTTACTAACACAGCTAATGGTGGCTGTTAGTGAATGTAACTCAGAGAGTCGAAAATAACTGCTAACATAGGTAAGTAGGAAGGGAACATCCCAGCCAGTTATGACCTAAACTGGTTAGTAACATCCTTCCAATGATTGCTCAGTTTGTGCCCATCTTCTTGGTTGAAATTGTGTCTGTGTTTATATATCTGGATAGCTTCATGAACGAATCTTTGCTGATAGCCAGTGGGTTTGCAGAGTACCTTCGTCTTGGCAAAATCAATTTTGTGTGTGCCCACCGCATTAAAATAATGATCAGCCATGGCTGAGGTATTGGGCCTACCGTATTTCAGATCTTGCTTATGTTCACAAACACAGTCCGAGACATGTCGCTTAGTTTCCCCAATGTAACTACTGCTGCAGACACAGCTTAGTTTGTAGACAGCGGGGTATTGAATGTCAGGGATCACATCCTTTACAGGTGGGGTCAAATCACGAATTTTATGTACTGTGTGAATCGTACCTAGATCTTGTGTTTGCCCATGATTTTGGATAACTTTTTGGTGACCCCTGCTATGTATGGCAAGGTGATGATTTTGATTTGGTCCTCAGATGGTTCTTTCCCAACGGTTGGGGTGAAAGCTTTACGGATTGTGTAGTCCGAATATCCATTCTTCTTGAGGGCTTGGTGTATGTGCTCCAGTTCACTGGCTAGGTGGTGATGGTCGGAAATAGAACGAGCTCTATGGTATAGAGTTTTGATGAGGGAATTCTTCTAGGATGGATGGTGGTGGGAGTCAGGTTTTAGGCAGGCATCCGTATGGGTGGCTTTCCTGTAGACAGTGTCCCATTGAGCCATCAGGTCTCTTTTCAATTAAAACATCCAAGAATGGTAACTTGCCATCCTTTTCCACCTCCATGGTGAATTTGATGGCTGGGTGTATGGAATTGATGTGGTTGAAGAATTGGTCCAGAGCTGGTAGGCCATGTGGCCAGATGACGAATGTATCATCTACGTATATCTTCCACAAGGACGTAGGGTGGATGCCTGGATGGCATCTGTCTCAAATTTCTCCATGAAAACATTGGCTATCACTGGAGATAAGGGAGAACCCATTGGGGTACCTTCAACTTGTTTGTAGAATGTTCCATTCCAGGTGAAGTGTTGGTGAGGCAGTGTCTAACCAGGGCCGGTACATCAGCATTCAGTCCTTGTTGGATCAAATCTTCAATGATTGCAATGGTGTCAGACACAGGAACTTTGGTAAATAATGATACCAGTGAATGGTTGCAAGGTGTCAGACAGAAATCGGGCCAGTTTGTCGGTGGGTCAGCTAATGGTGGAGACGATAGGACGGAGTGGTGTACCTTTTTTATGGATTTTTGGCAATGCCATAAAATCTGGGTGGTCGAGCAGCAGAGGGTTTTAAGGAAAGCCGATTGGTTGGTTCGATTAAAGATGTCGAATCAGTGATGATGTTGTTGGTTTTCGTAACCAGGCGGTTGGTAGGATCTCTATTAATTTTGGAATAGCTGCCATCATTAAGTAGGTCCTGAATTGTATGTGGTTTTGCCCATGATGACAGTGGCATTGCCCTTGTCGGATGAGAGGATGACTGTCTTTTTTTAGTTGAGAAAGCTCAAGGCGCTCATCCTTGCTGTTGCTAATAGGTGTCTTAGAGCTTTTGAGGATTGCAGCAATTTTCGATCTTGCGTGTACATTATTTGGCTGACGTGCTAGCATATCATTAATCAGAAATGACTGACACATTGAGGATTTTGACACCTTATAAATCGATCGTATGTTTGCATCACAGTGTACTACTGTGTATTGTACTGTATGTATATATACTAAAAGTTATTTATCCAGTCGAGAGTGTGAATTCTGGCCTCTTGTCATATGGTGTCTCATTCACAAAAGCTTTTGGAAATAAAATAAACTTTAAATTTTGATTTAAAGCTTTCGTGACTGCAGTAATTCATATTCTTAGTTTTTTCGGTAAAGTCACGTTGAAGAGAAACAACAAAAATAACAAAATATATATAAAAATATATATATAATAAACTTTCTCAAGGTTTAACTGAGAGCAGCGATCAATAACAGCCATGAAATGTTCTTCGCTGGAGTCATGCTGTAGCCTTCACTGAGCAATGCAATGTTAGGCCAGTTGGATATTTGTTCATTTTCATTCATACCCTTGAGCTGTTTGAGACGCAGTGCTTTTGTTTAGTTTGCCAGCTATGCCCTATCACACACACACACGCTGTAGTGCTTGTATGCCTTCCTTTCCTACGTGCGTTTTCCTTGGTGTTGCATTCACGAATGTACTCATTATGTTATGTTTCTTTTTTTAAAAACACCAGTGCCGTTGTATACGTTTACGTGGGTTTTCTGATCGCCGGTTAAACTGCGTTTGCTTTTAAAGAGGAAATAAAGCCACGCAGTGTACAAACATGACGAACAATAAATGAGGAAGAAGGGCAATAATGTGGTACCAATGCTTGCTTTGTTGGTTTTATGTTTGTTTGGTATATATGAACCAGTGGGCAATTACAGTACCGCTGGCGGTTTGACTGACATTTCATGAATGGGCAATCGCCTCTTTTAAAGAATGGGATTAATGAATGGATATACAGTATATAATGGCCGGGCAGTAACATTTGAACAGGGACATATAGAAGAACAAAGGTAAGCTTGTAACGGTGATCAAATACGGTGTAGAGTAGTGTAATGGAAACGTACACATTTTAGACGTTCACCTACACCACGCATTTTACACGGAATGTTGAGTGTAATGTACTTAAGTCATTACCCTATTTAACCATTTCATGACCAAATTAGACATTGTTTGCATTGAGAGGGCATCGATGTGTTTAACCGTGTCAAGACCAACTGAGATTTAATATATAATGGCATTAAATTTGCTAGTGCTGCCGTTGTCAGTTGTACCTGAAACGTCAAATATATTATTTTAAGGTAGTGTTGTTGACGAGTGTGTTGTTTTTTTATATATAAGAGATGCATACTCTTTGGTTATTTCCGTAAAGTCACGAAGAACTAAAGAGTATGGATTCCTGCAGTCACGAAAGCTTAAAATCAAGATTATAAGAGATGCAACTTATATTACTGTACTGAATAATGCTCATTCAATTATTCTATTACAAACCACAGAGACGCTTTAATAAGACCTGGGAATTATAATGCACATACGTACAGCAGAACGCACGCTCCATTACTCGTCTCTAACCATTAAGTGGCAACCTTAAATGTAAACATTCTTTTTGTGTGTGCAGTACTTTCTAGGCGTTATACTTTAACCGTGCGATTGAGCACCCATTGAAGGTGACACAAGGCCACTTTGTTGACAATGGCGAGCTTCATTCATACACTGTACTCCCGTGTCTACCATATGGGAGGGGTGACAGGACATGTGGGTGCAAAACACAATATTACAAAGTCACAGTAATATACACGAGGCATAGGAGGACGGGGTGGAGGGTAAATACATCTATACAATACGTGAAATGCGGTGCAACAGTTAAAGCTGAGCACTCAAACGCCGACGCTTGCGGCTTGCCGAGGGAGGACGAAAATCTCATTCACAAGAATCACGCCCACACACTGACCGGGCCCCATTCCTTAGAACCGCAAGAAACCCAAGCTCGCGCGCGCGCGCGCCCAAAACAAGAAAAAAAACACTTTCACTAAACGTCCGCAGGGCGACTACCATGCACCGTCGAGTTACGTAACAAGGCGCGTTCGGTGCCTCCGAGGCGTTTTGCGATTTCGGAACGAAACCGTTTCCGGATTTAGTGGGGTGGAAGAAAAAATGTCGAAAAAAAATTGTCTTGCAAAAAAAAAACAACTCCACAATTCCCCGCCCCCTTACCACCCCACCCACCCCCCACACGTTACCGCGGCAACGGTCTTGACGTCACCCCCGAACCCTCGCGCCTATTGGCCGAGCGCGAGAAAAGTAGGCGGGTTCGCGCGGGGTGGCTGGCGGGCAGGGGGGGGGGCCGAGGGGGGTGTGACGGAGCAACGCGTTCAGAGGGAAGCAGGGGGGGAGTGCGTGGGAGGAGCGAGGGGGGGGGCGAGGGGAGGGGCGAGGGGGACGCGAGGGGGGTATGCGCGGGAAGGGAGGGGGGTAACCCACTACATTACATTTCCTACAACGCATAAGCCGAGCACGGTTTCGGGCAGCCAATGGGCGCAGTGCGGGGCGTTAACCTGCGGCTTGCTTGCTCACGCCCACCGCCGTGCCCGTCCGCTGTAGGTATTTGAAGACCCCCTTCCCTCCACGGCGTGAGGGTTATTAATGAAAGAGGCTGCGTGGCCGCCGCTTCTATTCATGAGCTCAGTCGCGACGCAGCCGTCGCCCGCGCCGCCAGCATTCCGTCTGCGCCTACCCCGCCACACCACACCACACATTACCACCATCACCACCATAGCAGGAGACTTCCAGCTTACCCGAATCAGCATCTCGTCTCGCTACTTGGCCCCATCTTCTCGTTGTTGTTGTTGTTATTATTGACCGACGATTGCGGCCGAGCGCGGTCGGTGTGTAGTATTAGGCCGTCGATAAGCGGGTGGCGGGTTTTTTGTTTAGTTTTGACCGGTTCAATTTGTTTGGGGTAGTGGTGGTGGGGGGGGAAACAACGTTGTTACTTGGCGCACGGCGAGCGGGTGGTTGATGTGCGTTTGACAATACGGCTGTTAAGTTGGTGGTTTGGTGGAAAGCGATGGTTTTGTTTACGTTAAGCCCGTGTCGCTGTATGTGCTCCCGCGTGTAATATCAGCACGTGAATGAAATGTACGATTTGGTGAACGTTTAATGTGTGGCGAATACAAACTTATTTTGCGCTGTAATTTTACCGTTACTATTCGCGCGCCACGGTTTAAACTTCGGTCGCTCAACCCCCCGGGACAGTAGTTTAGGTAGCAGGAGTTAACGATGCCTGGCAACGTTATTCGCGCAACGTATTAACGACGTTGACGATTTCTTTTCTTTCATTTTTGTTTAACGAACGTTTGAGTTTAAAAAAAAACAATGGTACAGCTGCGCGTGAAGATTATCAAGACACTGTTGGGCAAAGAGCGGCAAGGACAAACGTTGACGTTTACTTGTGCATGCTAACGCTCGCAAGAAACCGGGCTTCGACACGGAAATCCACGTTGTTTTTCGTCGCTGCAAGACAATTATTTTTTTTTGTTTTAACTTTCGAACCGATAAGAAGCTTTTTGTTGCTGTTGTTGTTTTTGACGTCCTCAGAAAGAAAAAAAAACATCCTTAGGCTCCCCCCCTGTTTTTTTTTTCACAACAGCGATTCGGAAGAGCGTCGTGGCAGCTTTGGACCAAGCCTTTGTGTGTGTTAATGAACTTCCGAGAGAAGTAAACTTTGATCAAGGACCCGTGAATATTGCGACTCTGAAGAAACGGGAAAAATTCCACGCTTCAAGAAATACTTTGGAAGATTGTTTCACGTATCATCATCGCCGTCGTCACTTGTAAACTTAACATTTTAAACCCCATCCATACATCGCAGATTGTTATATATATATTTTTTAAAATAACTAACATATCTAATACACCACATCAAGATAAATATAAACAAACTATGTTCGTATCATCAGAGTGATTGCGTAATTAAGTTGATTTGACTTTTTAAAAAAAAATCTTTCTAACGCATCCTGTCAAACCTCGCCAAACATTTCTCGTTTAAGTCGTTAACATCGAGCCACGTTAATAAACTAAACAACCAAGCGACAATCGTCCAACTCATCGCTGTGTGTCAAGCCCACAGCATTGTGGAATCATAAGAACAACAAAAAAAACATCCCATCATAATTCAAACAATCTTGCCAACATCACACCGGAATCCTCATCAGCAGCAGCATCGACCAACAAAGAAGAACCTCAGGGCGGGCGGGCGGAGGGCTTGACGACCTCAAGACCTGCTGCTGCTACAGCTGCTGCCGCTACAGCTACAGCTGCTACAGCTGCCGCCGCTACAGCTGCTGCCTCGTTCACTGCCACAGCCGCCGCTTGCCTCCTCGGCCCCATCCTCGGCCATGTCCAACCGCGCCAGGAGCGTGGACTGGCTTCAGGCTCAGCTGGACAGCGGCGGGGCCCTCCTGCTGCTCGACTGCCGCGCCCGCGAGCTCTTCGAGGCTGCGCGCATCGAGGGCGCCGTCAACGTCTCGCTGCCCACGCTCATGCTGCGACGTCTGCGGCGGGGCAACCTGCCGGTGCGTTCGCTCTTCGGCAACGGCGAGCTGGAGAAGGAGCGCGTCGCGTGCCGTTGCCGGAGCGAGGTTGTGGTGCTGTACGACGACCGGGAGTGCGACGTCGACGGAGGTGGGAAGGAGAAGGAGGCTGCGGGTGGTGGAGGTGGTGGAGGTGGAGGTGGTGGTGGCAACCACGAAGAGTCGGAAGGGTGCATCGGAGACGCGGACGGCGATGGAGAGAAGTGTGGGTCGCTGCTGAGGCTGCTGCTGCAGAGGCTATCTGAAGACGGATGCAAGGCGTTCTACCTTCAAGGTAAAATTCACGACTCGTATTTGGGGGGGGTGAATTTGTTTTCTTCGACGTTATGCAAAGGGGGGGGGGGTATAAATAAGTGCAACGGCATCGCAAGATGCATGCTGTAAACTAAACTAAAACTAATTTTATTTTACCAGGTTAGGAGGCTCACTGAGCTATGTAGTGCTTTTTTGTTGTTGCGGAAGCTACCTGGCCACAAATTATAGGTCAGCTAAGTGGCTTATCACTTGTAAATGTATAGCAGCCAAATAATATAGTGCGTGTATGGTTGCAGGTGGAGATACAGTTCGTTCCATACAGCAGTAGAGAAATAGTGACCATCCTCTGAGTGGAAGTTGACTTGAGGTTTCATAAACGGAGGCCTTAGTGGAGTAGAGTGAGACGCGTGGAGACAGCTCGGCATTGTGAGTCAATCAGTTAAGGATCTTAAGATCAGAATCTGAATATTTATTAATACTGAAGAAATCCGATGATCTATAAAGCGCTTCTTTTCCCAAATGTCCAGGGTGATCGTGTAGTTGATGTTGGGATTTCATTCGGAGGCAGCGTGGGAGAGATTTTATGATTTGGGGTGATTTGGTGTTTATTATCTGAATGTCAGGGAGAAGTCTTGCAGTAGTGGCACGATTTTTTTTGTAGAACTACACGGTAACATTTCTTCACAGAAAAGCATTGACCGTCCAGAGCCATGAGCCGATGCGCTGTGGTTTGTTTTTGTTGCTTGCAATATAGTGTACATTGTTCTGTGCTTTGCAGCTGCCCCCCTTTGCAAATATAGACTTGTTGACTCATCCTGTTACCAAAAAAATAATGAAATATACCAGTCAAGAGTATAGTACTGTAAATGGTGCATAATTCAGCGGAGCCATCGCTCGAAAGGTTGACTTTTTTCAGTTACAAGGCAGCGTTTGTTGTCAATGGGCCATGCGTGGTGAGCTCCCACAGTATTGGCGGGCCGGACGGACCCTGAAGCATTTTTGGTTTCATTAGGGAAGTGGTTGCTTGCTTTTGCTGCTGGTGCGGTGATGTCTTTGGTTGGCTCGTGATGGGGGTTTTGGTCTCGTATGATGTGAGGAGGCATCTGACTGACACTCGCGGTGCTCTCTTGCCTACAACATTTGGCGGCCCAGCAGAGTAGTACATGTTTACCAGGTCTCACTCGGGTGACGAAAGGTGGACACCACTGTCGGTTCACTTTAAACAAACGCTGCTGGACGCAACTACATTCCGTCTGGAAGGCAGGCCGATAGGCTGATTGATATATATTTTTTATTTGGAGATATGGATAGGTGTTCATTTATTAAATAATCCCATGTTTGTTTCATTAGTATCGCTTGTTATTGGTAAATCTTACACGTACAAAATCAGGTGTCACCTTAGCGCTCGACCATTGCGTTAAGGTCTGAAAGCGCTTGTGTATATACATAATGCATATAAAAATAATACTTGAGTGGCATCTCCCTTGGTGACTCCATACGGTTTATAAACTGGTCGAGATGTCACCTTGAAGTGTTTTACGTGAGACGCCATGACTGTAAAAGGCACGATAAAAAAATATATAGGTGGTGATGAAGTTATAGAGTAGACCGAGAGATTACACTGTAATAAAAGCAATATAAAACCTTTTGATTTATGACGATCGAGACCAAAAAAAAATTCCGGCAAGGAAAGAGACACTGGAATTAAAAATAACACAACAAAAATAAATTTACTGAATATCGCCTTGCCCTAAATCCGGTTATACTTAATGCAAAGTACCATCCTGGGGAAAAACAAATATTAGATTGTCAATAAATTGACAGGGAAAAAAATGCAACCCAGTGTAAAACAAGTCTATAAAGATGTCTTATGTAAATAGTGCACTGTCTCGTGGGTGTTTAAGACCCCACGACATCGGTCACAAAAAGGTATTTTCAGCTTTGTCTTTGCGTAAATTTTAGACTCCAAAATATGAACAATATATGATATTCTTCTTTGGTTCTTTCGGTAAAGTCACGTAGAATGAGAATAAAATAATAAATTAATAAAATAAAATAACAATCAAATTCTCACGACGTTTCGGCCACAACACAAGTGACCGAAACATCGTGAGAATTTTATTGTTATTTATTTTATTATTTTATTCTCATTCTACGTGATTTTACCGAAAGAACCAAAGAAGATGCACCCTTGCAGTCACGAAAGCTTTAAATCGAAATATATGACATGAGTCTGTCTGCAAGTCTGCCTTTCAGAAGACTTTAGATGGAATACCTCACTGATGTATTAAGGGCAACTGCTGGCTGATTTGCAATTGAACAGCATTGTTCAAAAGCTTTTGTAAAAATATTAAGCTGAAAGCAAATGTAGTTTTGTGTATGTGGCCACACTTAATGGAAGGTATTTATAGGAATAATAAAGTGCATGCCAGGTAATAGGACACCTTCCACGTTCTGTCAATATTACCTTGGTTGCCATTAATATCCGAATGCAATTTGGTAATATTTGGCCATAACCTCAATACTATCCACACCACAATTTCTATCGTACAACCAAAAAAAGCGCCCTTCCATCATCGTGATCATCCGTCAGTATTAGCAAAGGTCATAGTTCATTGCTCTTAGTGCAAGCAGCTTGCCTTGGTAAACAGTTTCGGCCTTCCTGTTGTTTTGCAGCAAGTTTAGCAATGAGTATTACTATCCTGTGCACTGTGCTGTGGGTCAGTTGGCAACTTGCTCATGGTGACGTCAATTGTGGCTACTCGCACGGCAGACGATCCATTTGGCCAGCGTGCAAGACGTTGGTAAAATGTCAAGATAAGACACCCTCTTCTTCATACAGTGGAATAAGCACGGTGCCATTTCAGAGGTCTTTAGATCTTTGGGTGAGAACCTCTGCAGCTTTCTCGACTGGTCCAAGACAGTCATGGGCAAATAAAAATGTTTAACACGTGGCAGTGAAACGCACAACGAGCCTACCTTGTGCGCGAGTAGATCTGTACCCGTTTAACACGTAGGCTTTTGCAACCAATATCCATAATACAGGTTTTTTTTGGATTAGATCGTGTAAATATATAAATGTGTCGTTAAACCCGCCACCACCCGACACAGTCAATTAGTAAGGTTTGTCAAGTAAACGGAACATGCCAATTCGTTACTAGTACAGCACACCAGTGTGTTGGAGAGCCAATCCACAACATTTACATTCAGATTGTAAATGTTGTGTGCTGTACTCGTAACGAATTGGCATGTTCTGTTTACGTGACAAACCTTACTAATTGACTTTGTCGGGTGGTGGCGGGTTTAACGACACATTTACGCGATCTAACCCAAGAAACCTGTGTTATAGATCTTTACCCCCCCCCCCCCCCCCCCGTGTGCGTAAGTGTGAGCACACGCATACCTTACACGTGTGTGCACACGCACACACGTATATGTAAAACAGAGACTTAGGCTTAGAGCACAGTACCGCGATGATTTAACTGCGCACGCTGGACGTATTTCCACAGATATGTCACCTATTTAATAATAAATGTCAAGCTTGCGATCCCATTCACGGAGTCACATTTATGAATACTAACTTCATCTGATCTGCAAGCACACTTGGCAATAACCAGACAGACTTTCATAAATGTCACCTGATGATGATTGCTTGTGTTGCAGTCGAAACGTCGTGAGAATTTTATTGTTTTATATTTTTATTATTTTATTGTTTCCCTTCTACGTGACTTTACCGAAAGAACCAAGAATATATTGTCGCCAGCTTGATTTGTTTTCGTCGCCAAATGTGGGTTTTTTTGTTGTTGACATTTTAGCCCTTGCCTCCCCAATAACAAACCCAACACCACCAGCCCCTATAAACTTCCCTATTTTCTATTCGTGTATAACTAAAGCCATGTTGTTGATGCCACAAGCAATGTTGCCTGCTTTCTAGGTCTTTCTTGCATTTAGGCAAGGCTCCGGTCACTTCCGCTCCACCTTCCCCCTCCCCTCTCCCGCGTTGGTCTCTGTATCGTTGCCATTGTAAATGCAAGTTCTGTGATTTAACCGTGGTGCTGCATAGCGTTACAATGCTTTTAACTTGTGCCTCGAAGCTGCATTGGGAATGTGGTCTGTGTTGTGATTGTTCCAACCCCCGCAATTACCTAACAAGGGTCGTGGTATTTAAAATATTTATTTTTCCTCTGAGCAGTAACCTAATAGACGTCACAGAGATTTACTGATAACAAAAAAAAGATGGTTAACGAAAAATATAGTGACCCACACGCAATGGTCCAGCATTGTTTTCAGAGCAAAATAAGGACAAACCTTTCCCCCCCCCCCCCACCCAATGTTCTTTTATTTTTGTTCGCATAGAATAAAAACTACATATACTTTTTCTGTGATCTGTTTGGCGAAATACCTTCTTTTGGTTACACATCGGCATGCTGTGGGATCCGTTATAAATCCATCATCTTGTGTTTCTCGCAAGGCCGTAATGAGAGTGGAATAATGTTTAAGTTTTTTAATCGCCTATAGATTAACTACAGTGACTTGTCCTTGATTTGATTCTTAAGTACCCACGTGGCACACGGGATAATAATGCAAGTAGAGCTTGTTTCGTCTTGTATCTGCCATAGGAAAATAGCAAATCTGTGAGCCACAGTCCACCAGTAAGTTTTATGCTGAATTGCAGTGTTAATTTAACGAACGAAATTAGGAAGGAAAGTTAAGTGGGGTTTTTTTTAGTCAATGATGTCTATTGTTGGATGGACATTATTACTCTTGGCGAAGTTTTGACTAAGTATTCCCGAAGACTCTCTTTGACAAGACTGAAAATAAAATAAAAAAATGCTGACTAAATGTAGTTTCATGACATCTCATGCTGTCTTTTTCCAGTGGTCGTATATTTGGTCTGAACCACATAGTGCAGTCTATTTGTTTGAGCCGAGATCATATATTTAACTTTTGGTGCCACTTGGCATGGCATAACTTTAGCAGTTCCAATTTATTCGTGGCCAATACCAGGGAAAGCTGTGATAACTATTTGACATGAGTTGGCTCTCAAATTATTCACTCTTAGCCATATAAATAAATTGGTACGACTAAAGTTTTGCTACCCTAGGCGCTTCCAATTTCACTCTGGCCCATGGACGATATCAAGGAACACAAAGTATAACAAACAAAATCTTGCCTAATTATAATTGTAATCTGTGTAGTACCACACATCTCAAAAGAACCACATTTGTGAGTTTTGTTGTTTGGGCATGTCCGTCATGGGGAGCTGTAATGTGACCGTTCTTTGCCATGCTGGTGGTCAGTGTGAATTTGTGAATGGATTACATTCTGTCGTGCCTCTTCATTATCTGACTGATGTGGGAGCCCCGATCCAATGTAGTGACCGAGGTCCTCAAACGATCTTAAGCTTCTTTTGCCACTTGAAGGTAGTGCCCCGTGGAAATAAAACGATGCTACTTTACCGTGAAACCCATGTGTATATTGAAAATAAAAACTGAAAATGCACATTACCCAACATTTTGGCCAATAAGTCCCTTTTATCACACCAGGTTATTCTCTTTTAACGTTTTTACAAGCAATAACCAATACTTACATGAAAAAATGCACTGTATATTAATGACATATTATTTTTGTTCCTGCTTTTTACCTTCCGCTTATTTTACGTGGACTTTTGATGGGGGAAAAAATCGTGTTCTTTTCCCAAAGCCCTTGCATTAGCACTACTGAAGGATTATCTGGCAATTGAATCATTTAATAATTTACCAATCCACTGGCGAGAACCTTTTACAGTCGTGCCAAAACGTGCACGTACCAGATTATATTATTTTGCCATGAACCGAGAGCCGTAATGTGATTTTTAAAGGCGGATGCGATTAAGTGACAGAATTCCTGCGAGAACTTGAGACTGCTGTGGCAGGTCACTCGGCAGGCTATCTCTGGCATATCTCACTTGCCTCCTAACCCTGTGCAACCTGACGCGCTTCTTACACCCACGTGTGGCTTCCATGCTGTCAATGCTCCTTCAGCATGTTAGCCCCGTACAGTTTTGTTCTGTTTTCTTTGCTTCGTTGATCGAATTTTGAGTTTTTTAGCCAATGGTTTTGTTAGCTTTTCGAAATGCCTGCATTTTTGCGCCCCGAGAATTGTCAATGTTTTTCCTCTTTTTGTAAAAAAAAAATCATCGCGTTCATTATATATTGTGATGCGAGTGTAGAAGCTTGAATCAAAGCATTTTGCCCTTTCTCAGCTGTCTTCTGTCAGCTCTGAAGAAGGACCATGGGCTAACACATTAGCATGCTCTTTTTTCCTGTTATTGGCCAGTGTTTTTGGCAGTGCTGGTGAGCTTCTAGTTGCATAGCTGCCAATTTTTTTTTATTCTGGGTAAATGCTCCACACCCAAATACATTTTTCCTTGCTGTACGGCAAGAGTAAAAGTGGCCATGAATCTGATGATTATACTGTCAAACTAATCCTCAACATTAGCTCATGAATCTCAGTGCCTAAGGCATGATTAGGATGATTAGTCATCACTGCTAATTTCCAACACAAAGCCAGGCTTTAGGCACACTATTATAATCTTTCAACATAAATTTATAGGCCTCGGATAATTCGTCTAAGGCACCCTTTTAATTATAGTTTTAGGATTTGCTTAACCTTTGTGTGTTTCCTTTCCTATTTAACAATTGCCCATTCCACTTTTGCTGCATCATGAATTATAGCATATCCAAGCATGCTCAAGTTGTTTTGGGGGTGGAGTCTTAAAAAGCATCACGCTTAAATTTTGACTTAAAACTTTCGCGACTGCAGGAATTCATATTCTTTGTTTTTTTTTCGGTAAAGTCACGTAGATAGAAAAAAATATCTATATTTACATTTTTGTAATTTTTTAAAATATGTTTTATTTTCTATCTACGTGACTTTACCGAAAAAACCAAAGCATCACGCTTATTTTTTATATCTCATTGTTGTACGCATCAAAGTGGCTCAGTGGTATCGTAAGCAGCTCACAATTGGAAGGTTGCAAGTTGGAATCTTGTTTGGGGTTGACTCACCCCATAATCCTTCCAGGGTCGATAAATTAGTCGTGCAGAGTGGGGAAGTCAACAGTTGAAGAGAAACAACAAAATAATCAAATATATATAAAACAATGTTTTATTATTTTGTTGTTTCTCTTCAACGTGACTTTACCGAAAAAACTAAGAATATGAATTACTGCAGTCACGAAAGCTTTAAATCAAAATTTAAGTCAACAGTTGTTGTATTATGGAAAGACTCGCTCCTGCCATGAGAATGTGGAATGGTCACCACTGGCTCAGGGCTGTAAACGGGATATATGCACCACCTCAATGTTCATTTGAGCATGAAATCGCGTTGACTTTCATGACGTATCATGGTTAACAGCAAAACTTGTTTGTTTATTGCTCCTGGACGGGTCACGTGTCACGTGCGCAGGGGGATTCAGTGGTTTCCGGGCGCGCTACCCCGAGCACTGTGAGACGTGCGTGGACGCGGGAGCCGGGAGCCCCGGGGGACTCTGCACGTCACCCCCCACCGCCGCGGTCCCCATCTTGGGCCTGGGCGCCCTACGCATCGGTTCCAGCGACTGCTCTGACACGGAATCCGACCCGGACTCGAGCAAGCCCTGCTCGCTCGGAGCAGGTAACCCGCCGAATGGTTTCCACTTCCACTCCCCCCCCCTCCCACCTAAAACCCAACCCTACTGCACCCCCTCTTCCTCCCATTATCATACTTTCGATTAGCACGGTTGGCTACGTACGGTGCGAAGTAAGTTAAACGTACATACACACCATTGCAGATTTATTGAAAGATTATATGTATGTAAAATACGTGTCTTCGAAAGAAGAAAACAACTTTACAGGAATCTCCGAGCATGCTTTGCATATCAGGACGATGTGGTCGTTCTTGTTTGTGTTTTGCACGTAGCATTGTGATAGCCACCGGCTCCAGAGAGCCGATCGAGATTGTGGCATTTCTAATTTAGGTGGCAGGGGACAACAAGGCAACTATATGCTGGTTTCATTCTTATTAGGACTGATCAGTACATTGTATCCATCGCATGAGATTCATGATTTTCCTTTTGGAACTCTCATTCTAACAATTAGGACCTTCTCTACTACCCCTGCTGTCTGGTTCTCGCTGCCTCTAATTGTCTACGTTGCTGACTCCCTACCCTTGTACAGATAATTGCTTCAAGGCTTCTACTTCAAACTGTGATTGCCTCAATCCCTATCCTCTGTCTGCCGCGCTCTCTTCTTACGGCACTGTAGCCTGTCATGTTTGCGTCTCAAATCTCCTGACCTGTCCTTTCAGCTTTTTCCGAAACCTGTGTTCCCCACAGCTGGTGCAGCATTCAGCAGTTCTCTTGACAATTTAGACGATCTAGAAATGGTGTGTTGTGTTACACATCGTACATTGGAGTTGTGTATGAAAAACTCATTGGCAGTTGGAGAGCGTAACAGTGGGCAACAGTACAGCAAGTAGGTCGATTATTTATTTGTGTGCTTGGTGGATTTCCGCCGGGCGCTCCACTTTCCTCTCGTGAAATATGAACAAAAAAATTAAAGGAATCGGCTAAACAATGCAAGCGGGCCTTTGATTAAACATTTCTTGGTACGCAATTCCTTTCCCCAATTATATTCGAAGGTTGGATTTTAACGGGCAACCTTTCTGTCCAAGGGTGGGTGTGCCAACCACGATGCCACTCACTGATGCACCCTGAGAGTGGAGGGAGAAATACAAACCTTTTAAAAGTATAAAATAACATGAAAAATAAAGAAGATACTGTTGAACCACATGTCTGTTTTTACATAGCACCAGTCAAAAAGTTGTCTTATTTATGTTGGCCAGCTTGTTTTAAAATCACAGACAAGGGTGATAGTTTAAACGCATTGAGAGTGAAATTCATGTATTTGGCAACGCGGGACAATGGCCCACCGTGGGGTGGTCGTGTAAGCATCGATTTTTCTGTATTACTTTATTCTCAAACGATTCGCTCTCTGTTCGAACAAAGGCATTTGTCATGCTCTCAGTGGTCGCCCACTTACGAAAAGAAACTTAGCAGCAGTTAGACTGACCTAGAAATGGTGTCCTTTTAAAGAAAAACACTCCATTACACAGATTCATACAGCAGAGATTTGCTGTCTCAGTGAACCTACCTGTAAAACGGTTAAGGTGCAGCCCTGTGATTGCTTTCTGCTGGCGGAAGGGCCTCTACTCGAGGGAGCTCTGGAGAACCTCTCTTTTTATAGAGTACTTTTGGCCTACTCTTCCACACTGATCTTGACGAGGTGGACGTACCCACGTTTTACCCCACCACACGCAACATTTTGCTTCACTAACTGTGGCATACCCATTTATAATGTTAGGTGGATGGAGGAGGGGCGATCTAATAAACTTGAAACATTGTTTAAACTGCTGTGCCACGCTAACAGATGAAACCAAATAGGCGACCTCTGGATTGCTTGTCCAATGTGCTTATCCATAGCACCGTGGCGGCATCCCCTCATATAAAATAGAGGGTTTATGACAAGTAATGGGTTGGGGGGGGGGGGGTTTGCACTGAGAGGAAAGGGAGGTCTTGATGTTTCGACTGACTGATCTCGTGGGAGTTCTGAGATTGCACAAATTAACTTGGTTACCAACTCTCGCTGTTGCATTGCATCTCTTAAGAGAATCGTTTTCAGCGTGTGCTCGTATTTTTTTAATGTTAGGATTTATAGTGTAACGGAATATAACCCAGCCTGCTGCAATTGAAAATTCCGGTCATTGTAGCTTTGCGTATTTTACGTTGCTGCTGACGTTTTTGTGTACATTGTGTTGGGCTCTTTTTTTTTTTAAGCCTCTTTTATTTTCATTCTCCCTAGTGTTTTTTTGTGTGCGGTATAAATGCTCGGATATCTTTTGCACCTCTGAAAGAATTTGGCGTTTCCATTCATTCACCAGAGGCCTGAAAAGCAGACTTGTGCTTGTAATCCGTTGAATTATTTTTCTTCTCCATATTTTTGAGGGGAAAAAAATTGGCTTGTAGACAGAGGAGAATAGGTGCAACTCAGATCAGGCAAAAATTTCAATAGTATTTGTATGTATATAACAAATAATTACTCTATTTTAATCTAGATTTGAACTCTATTTATTTAATTACTCTATTTTAATGGACGAGAGAGCCTGTTGAGATATATCTATGACAAAGCAAAGCTGGGAGTATACACGTGTCAATGCGTGCGCGTGTGTGTGTGTGCGTGACGTATTTAACAATCTTCTTTGGAAACATAATTTACTTGCACACTCTATGGTTTTTGGTCAATTATTTTGTTTACAACACTTCAAATTAGATAATGAATTCCAAAAGCGATGGAATCCATAATTTAATCCAACGATAATTTTGTGACGATTGGAACCGATTGGCGCGCGTGAACATTCTAACCTCATGGCACGTTTGAATGGTATTGGTGACAACCATCATAAGGCATCGTTGCTAGGGCTTGTAAGTCGCTACCTGGTACCTTCACACAGACGTGCGCACACACAGGGCTACACCTCAGTTTCTATCGTTGCATCCTGATACGCGTGGCAAACTTAAGGATTTTTTTGTATTATCAATAAGGTTGAGTAACTGATATTAATAACCCTAATGCTGAGCATAGTGTGAGAGATGGTCTAAGCGTGCTTGGCTATGTAAGGTACAAAATAAGTTCAACATACATAAACTGGCCAGTATACCTTGCTATTTTTATTAATCTTATTTTACAACAAGGCTACACATTATTGTGACAAGTGGTGATGCATGTGCACTCCCGCTAATTGGCTAATGTTTGTCCGGCAAACTATGCACACACTGAGCCCCACTCTATGGAGCCAAGATAAGACCCTGGGAGTGATGCTGTCCGAGTTGCTGCACAATCACGTGCGCAAAGGAACGTGACACAAAAACCCCCGTAACTTGTATTTAACATGTTATCAATAGTAATTTGCATATTAAAAAATTGAAGTATTTTCTCGCTTTTTGTCGATTGATTTTTATTTATTATCAACCCCTGCGGCTTTCTCACACCTCAGAGTCGTTCTCGGTCTCTCCGAGAGTGAGCGGATACAGTGCGTGTTCGTTACAAGTTGAAATTAATGTAGTTAGAATGCTCGACTCGAAATCAGCAGTACAAATCCTGGTTGCGATTTGACTCAGCCCATCATCCTTCCAGGACTTGATAACATGAGCAGTGTTCAGTCTGGAAGTTGGCAGTGGTTTTTCGTAAGGACTTGCTCATCCCTGCCATGTGACTGTGGAATTATCACCGCTGTCTCAGGGTCATAATAAGTCAAACGCTCAGACTTATTTGGACTTTTAAAATACAATTGCGCTAAATGTATAGGCACAAGCATTTTACACCAGTGTAGTGGAAAAATCTAAATTCCTTCTATTTTCTCCTGATTCGGCCATTTTGCCAATGAAAAAGCAATTACATTCATATGCACTGATCACTTTACCATAAGGCTGTATTATTGTTTCTCTTCATATGCAGTTGAAATTGTAATTGTAAATTCGTTTTACCTAGCATATGGCTTATATTTGTAGTTACGTACGGTCTCTTGTATCTGTGGGTGGAGTGGTGGCGTTGTGGTTGGTACACTTCGTTATGAACCTGGCTATCTGAGTTTGAGTCCACACTCGGGCTAACATCTGTGATATCTATACCAGTCCCGACATCGCCCCCCCCCCCCACACTGAACCGACCAGCACGGTGAAATATGTTCAAACAACGCCCACGTCCGACGTGGCATGAGACCATCATCCAATATTTGATTGACAAGGGACTGTTAATGATCATCTACAGTGTTGTATACACAGCACGATTGAAGTGTTTGTGAAGAATGTGACATGCGGTGCGTGTTTAAAGTAAGGACGTTTGTCTACATTGTGTGTACGTGCAATTGTCATTTTGGTGTCAGACACATCACGGCGATCCGGGCGAATGGAAAAAAATTAAAATGCTCGGTTTCGTGCAGAGCCTGCAGCCGTGTTCCACGAGTCAGGGAAACACTTTCACTTTCATCTGCAGCTTATTAAAAATAGTGACGGAGAGTGGAAATCTGTTCGATTTAGGTGCAGTCCATTGTCACCCGTTCTCTCGTTGCTGGCTCCAAAGTAACACATATCGTGGGCGGAGTAGGGGGAAAAAACGAAAGAACAGGGGGAGGACGGTTCTGTTTGGTCCTCATTTGCAGATCTGCCCCCCCCTGCTTTTGAACCACATTTGGCCTGGGCGGGGGGGGGGAGTTGGGCAAAATACAATGGTGCAACTCACGACGTTGTAGCGGCGGCGACGTGACACCAGGTTCATCCGGAGAGTCCCGAGAGTCGGGCAGGTGGGTTGCGAGGTAAAAAAAAATACGCATGGAGCTGTGCTTATACTGCGAGTAATCCCTTTGCATCTTGTAGCTCGGGTGCTGTGCAATTCGTGCAAAGGAGCAGCTGTTTAAATGGCGTATTGGCCACATTATTCATTCGTATTCGAATGCGTTATATCAGAATATGTATTTATACTGGAGGAATCCGATGAGCTATAAAGCTCGTTTTCACAGATGTCCACTAGGTGTGGGTCAGAACGTTACAACAACAAACGATGCAAAACACGATAAGAGTACAAAGTATAGGAAAAGTAAACAAATCAGTAAAAAAACTAAAAAGAAATGTTTAGCTTGCCAGCTCAAGCCCACTTGAGATAATAACTTACTTCGTCTGAAGCGACCTAGCCACAAATGGTAACGTAACAAAGTGGCTTGTCACGTCGAATTTTTTTCGCCACAAAATCAAAATTAATGATCTCAATGCACGTGCTGTTTGTTGAAGCACATCTGTAATTATATTTTTTTTATTCCTGCAAAGTTGATGTGTTTTAGCGTAATTTAGACAAGAGTATGAAAAGGTCAACGAATGTAATTGCCATGGTCCTTTCTTTATCAGTCTACGGCTAAATGAAGGACTCCTGATATCTTTCAGTCATCGTCAGGTTGTTTGATCATACTTAATCACGCCGATCGGTGCGGGTTGGTGAAGGGATGTGGCCAGGACCGGTTTGGATGTCACTCGCCACCTGATGTCAGCCGTGACCGAGAGCTGAACTCTAGTTGCCAGGTTCATGGCGCAGTGCGCTAACCACTGCACCGCCACCAGCCAAATATAGTACAGATAGCACGGCACAAGTGAGAAATACAGTGTGGATAAGGCAGACCGTACAAATGAGACGGTCCAAAAAATACTAAAAACCGAATCTTTTTTGAGTGTAATCATGATCTCAAAACATAATAACCAATATAATTTCACGGAAAAGCATGGTAAATTGCTTCACACCTATTAAACATCGTTATATTTTTTTTGTTAAGGCAAGCGGTTCGGCCTACAAGCTACTCTCTGATAGTTTACCCAATGTGACGTCATAAATCAGTGTTGCGATTCATCTGCTGAACTTGCGTGTGAAATGTTAACGGAAGATGAAAGTGGAGCATTCTACATTCTAAACCCCTTCAAGGGTTTTTTTTTTTCTCGCACAAATCACAAGAGTGCACTGTTGTACATTTCAGGGGGGGGTTCGGTGATTCACTCTTTGGATACCTGCCAAATTGATTCAAATATATTTCTTGCAGTCTGCCTTGGGCAAGTTAATTGCACAAATTGTCATAGTTGGAGAAGTTCTTTTGAAAACATTTATTGGAAGATCATAAAAATTATCTGTGATCATGGTACATAATTTGTCTCGGACGATGACAAACAGCTTACGTAATGGGATATTTTTTGTGTTTGAGTACATGTCTCATATATATCTGCTAGCACCAACACATTTACACATCTCATGTGGCTGACTGGGATTAATTTTAACTGATTATTTGTTTACCGAATAAATCCCCATTTCCACAGGGTGACTTACACACATGATCCATCAACCCCGGTTGACCAACCAACATTTGATTAACCCAGTGTCATCCGTCCCTTACCTTCTCCAAGGGAGCGTTATGGCTGGCGACTCCTCCGAAGGAAGCCCGGGGGATTCGGACCTTGGACACCAGCACCACCACCACCACCATCAGCATCATCATCATCAGCAGCATCAGAGCGGAGAGGGGCCTGGAGGGTGCCCATCAGGGGGTTCACCCTCCTTCCCCGTGGAGATCCTGCCCTACCTCTACCTGGGCTGCGCACGTGACTCTACGAACCTGGCAGCTCTGGCCGAGCACGGCATCCGCTACATCCTCAACGTGACGCCCAACGTGCCCAACGCCTTCGAGTCACGCAGGGACTTCGTCTACAAGCAGATCCCCGTGCCCGACCACTGGAGCCAGAACCTGTCGCAGTTCTTCCCCGAGGCGATCGCGTTCATCGGTGAGTCGCTGCGACGATCTGACCGAATTGAATTGTTGGCTCTTCAGACGTTCGCGACATTCAGAATCATTATATATGAATTAATATTGGAGGAATCCGATGAGCTATAAAGCTCTTTTTCACAGATGTCCAGTTGGGGCGGGTAAAAACGTTACAACAACAAACAATACGAAAAATTAATAGGAGTGGCAAAGTACAGCAAAGATAAACGAATCTCGTTAAAATATACAAATAAAACGAAATAATGTTTCGTCTTACCAGGTAAAGCCCACTAAGGTATTAACTTATTTTTCAGAAGCGGCATGGTCACGAATTCTTCGAACACAAGGATATCAGGAAGGCCTATCGCAAAGGGCGCTATGTTTAACACGCGATTATAGGCTGCACTAGTTTCACAGCAAAGCGCGATGTTGCTATGTGTTTTAGTCTTACAGTGGTCACAGATAACGCTTCTGACATTATAACACTATTCCAATGTCCAGCAGTTGCCCAGCACTGGAATGGTGCTGTTTTCTCATTTATACATCCAGAGCGTATCGGTGACCACTTGCGAAAGCCAGATTTAACGTAGGTATAAAAATTAGTTTTTTCCCTAATTAGGTATATTTTCATCGTTGGAAAAGTCAAACCGTTGACTCACATGATCTAGAATTTCCAGAATAACGTCAAAAACCTCCAATGAAAGCTGAAATGTGTCCAAAGATTCCATTAAAGTTATATATGCCTATAATTACACAAAGAAACAGAAAGCAGAAGACATGACTCGAAGAACAAACAGGTTTGTTCAGAGCACAAACACGAGAAAAATATTGATTGTCAAGAAAAGTAATACAAACTCAACACATTCTCTGATGACACTGCCTGGAAAGGAAAGTTTATCGTAGGTGACATTTGTGACAGTGGCTCTTCTTCATCGTGTTAAATGTTCGGAGTGTGCCGAGTTTGTTGCTGTTTGTGCTCTTACACCACCGCCAATGCAGCAGTCTTGTCAAATATTTTTTTCCAAGAAAAGTTAGGGGGGTGAGGCTTGGAAAGGGAGGATATCCGAGACTGTGGGTGACATTGGCTGCCAACGGAGTGGATGTGCCCGAGAGATCGGACCACCTCAGAAAATGAAGTGATGGGACGAGGTCGCTTTCAGGCGTGAGATGGATTGTGAACATCGTCGGATTCTGAGGGACGCATACAACATAAGAAGGCCTCTATCCAGCAGTGGATGGAACATGGCTGGGGATTTCGAGTTCTATCTTTGAGAGGGTAATCATGAAATTACACATTTCTTCTACGTAAATACCTTCAAGGGAGGAGGAGTAGGTATGTAATGATGCATTGGTTTATCAATGAGCATTGATTCTTAAGCCTTGCAATACATTTGTAAAATTGCACATCTTATAGTACATCATTTACATTTTGGGCAAATTATTTGATAATGTTACTTTTATGTTAAGTGAGAAAAAAAAACTTTCAAAAAGACAGTATAACTGAGACATAGAACGAGATAAATAAGGAATAAATTATTCAATCATAATTGTAGCTTTGGGTCTCGATAATTGATTAAATTGCTGGGGATAGGGGGAGGTTTATCCTTGCACTGCTATTGCCAACACCGCCCCTTCGTATGCCATGGTAGGCTTAATATATATTGACCAACAGCGCTTACCCAGCCTATACAGCTCTGCTTGTGATCATACTGTTCTATGATTTCTTTATTCGCTGCCAGACAGCTCGATCAACCATTTGTCCTCCACTGAATTGGGAAAAAAAATCAGGCCGTTTTAGAGTGACATCCAGCCGAACAACAGAAACGAATGCCTCGCTCTGCATACGACTATCCAGTTTCACAGATTAAAAACATTGACCGGTTTTATCGTAAACGCTGGAATCGGGCTCCGATGGAGTGTTTGTTTGTGTGCGCGACCAAATTGTCAACAAACGGCATTTTCGAGACTGCAGAATGAGATCACGTTCCTGAGGTCACGGGCAGCGATGATGTCACCACATCTGCACGCTGCACTCGGAAAAATTCATCATCCAAGATGACGGCACGTGCCCTTAGTCAGACCTCGCAAAAGTAGCGTTTTCTTATCCTCTCCATCGCCCATCACGTCGCCCCCCCCCACACCCCCCTTTTTGTCCCACCCGCCTTTGTCCCACCTTAGCATTTTGTATGATGGAGACAAGGTGAATGCCTCTGCTGTCTTGAGTGAGAATGGGATATAATGAGCATTAATTGCAAATTAAATTTAGAACGTCGAAGCATCTCCTTGTTCAAACAAGCGTTGGGACGGTGCTCTGGTCCGTTGGCGACGCCCGAGGCATTGGTGGGAATTCCGTGTGATGCCTGAAGCATTGGTGAAAATTCCACGGTCAGTTTCCATGTAAAGACCAACGTTGACTTTATACTGGAATACTGTTAACTCCCAACCAGTGATTTAAACTTAAAACCTTCCGATTGCGAGCGAATTGCCTTCAGTGTTGCCTGGCCAGATTAACTCTCTATTTGAGCTGAATTAAAATAATAGTTAAACATTTTGATTGATTAGAATAACACTCAGTACTTTGTTAATATTTCGTTTAATGCAGGCAAATGTACGGTTTCATAGCCACACGCCATGTAATTTTAATTGGTAATTAAATCATTTGCTCCATTCACTAAGTGGGGTCCATCATGAAAACAAACTGTGAAAACCAGTATGTTAATAGCATCCATTTTGACCGACCCCAAAAAAAAGTGGGCATGGAAGCACACTAAGACAAAATCCCCCCCCCCCCCATCAGGCCATAATAGACTTGGGGCAAGTTCTGTTAGCGAGCACCTATGAAGGCTGGCACGGTACACGACAGGGTGGGTGGCCAACACCATGCCGGGCCGCCTTTGCCTAGTGGCGATGTTTACACATGGCACCATGTAGAAATTTGAGGCCGAGTCGACCGGCCCAGGTCCGGTTTCTGAAAATCGTCACCGGTGTTCGCCGTGAGCGGGAATCAAACTCGGGTCGCTGGCATTGTAGCCCAGTATGCTAACCGCTACACTACCGCTCCCCACATGGAAAAACACGTGCGTATACAATCTTGACGTGCACATATTGTGTGTGAGCTCTCACACCCACGTGCTGCAATTGCATTGAAAAAAATATATATTTTCAGAAATTTAGGTAAAATTTTTTTACCAACTTAATTAAAAAAAACATTACAGCGATGAGCATCAGTGTTGGTGAGCCGTGGGGTTTATTTTCTCGTAGCGTTTGAAAGTTGGCTTACGGGTATTGTTGTAGTGTTCGAGAATACACACCGGGCGTTCTCAGATGGACGACGAATGGACATTTTCCAGGCACTGCAAAATAATCATCCTGTCTTTATTAGTGACCAAAACGCTCGTACTCCAGTTGGATAACGAGCATTGCCATTGCAGGTGCTATGGGGGGGGGGGGGTAGACAATCCACATTTATTTTTCAGGGCCAGGCCAGGCATGCTATATTAATTACAGCTGAATTGCTGAAGCATTGGCATTTTGCATGACTCTCAAAATCCATTGTGTTAAAATGTTATATGTATATATTCTGTCCTCATGTCGGTGTATAACCTGCAGTCGTTACACATACATAATACGTATGTTAATACAGCACGTGTTATTTTACTCGTACACCTTATTAATCGCATGTTCATAATATAATGATGGTTACTCTTTGTTTTTTTCGGTAATGATGGTTGGTACACAATTAAATTCGCTTGAATGGCCACAATGTTCAATCTTAAAAATGCCTCAAGCAGTGGCGTGGCTTTCTAGCTTATTGTTTTTGTTCAGGGCTTTAACAATTCACTCCTATACAAATTGGTGAATTATCATGATTCGGGCCACATCTTGTGAAATGAATGAATCAATTCCTTTTTTCTCTCGTGGTGCATGTATAATCAATAATGCAGTAGTATGACTTAATATCTATATTGGTGGAAATGTGTAGAATCTGTCATGGTATTAATTTTTAGTCTCATAATGGATGCATATAAACTATTTAATATTCATCAGTAGAACCTATAAATGTATGAATTAATAGAACATATAGTGGTTTAATTTGCAGAAGCAGATATGAATCGGGCAGAGCAGTGGGTGTAGCGCACTGCTGTATGAAGCTAGCAACCTGAGTTACATACCTGGCCAGAGCTAATGTTTCGTTGGCAAATTATATGTGAACCCCCCCCCACTGCACCGACCCACACTGGCCAGAGTTCAAAAAGCATTGTCAAACGACTCATTTGAGCAATGTGGTATGGGGGGAGGCTTTTGACCGGCATTGGATTGATAAAGGGTTAAAAACTATGTTAATCAAGTCGGATCGATTCTTGAGCATATGTATCATGAGAATCGTCACATTGCCGTTGTCTAGGGTATTGTTTTCTCCTGGCCCTGTGCTCCGCCTCTGCATTGTTCCCCGTCACTTGCAGCGCTTTGTAATCTGGCACACGAATGCAACCCTTTTCATCCTTATCTCCCGTGAAGGTTAATTAACCGCATCTCAGAATAGTGCGCAACAATTAGAATATGAAAGCTTAATTTAATAGGGGAAGGGAACAGCGGAGATGGAGAGAGAGCAGACCGCCGGTGGAGATAGCGAGTGTCATGCGATGAGTCACCGCGAGCCCCCCGTTGCAGGGAGCAGCTCCAGCACTCTCTGCGTAGGTTTGCCGAGCCTTAAAATAGCATCGGGGAGACTCATCCATGTGAAAAAAATAAAGAAATCCTCAGCGTGGGTTTAAAATAGATCCGATCGTTCTCCTCCATCCGAGAACAAATCGAAATCAGCAAATAGGTTTCTAAAAATACAATCTCTCCTCCTCACTCTTGTTTTTTTTTGGGTTTCCCAAATTGTGCTCCGTGCGCATCGATTTGCCGTGGTCGAGCCCCGGGCGGGCAAATTGCGTTTCTTTTTTTAGCTCTGTAACCCGGTGAACTGGCGAAACAATTGGCTTGAATTTAATGGGCACGAGGATGCACAGTATA